GGGGAAAAACTTTACCCTTCGATTTTCTCAAAACATCATTTTTCGGGACAGACCCTTGTGCTCAAAAGCGACCAAATGATCTAGATTGTGTCAATGGGTTCGTAAAACACCTAAATAACAAATAAATGAAGGAGGTCCTGGTGTAGAGAAGAATTGACATCTCCAACACAAAAGACATCCAAACACGTAGAGACGGCGATTTCTTCCAACACAGATACGTACAGAAAGAAAAACCCCGCGGAGACACAGGCTCATACAATTGACATTGATTTTATTGTTTTAATTCATGATCAAGTATTCCTACTCCCCAATTGACACACACACACACCGGATTGCATGCATTTGAATAGGTCTCTGCGTCGTATGTAATGGCTTGGCTCTTTGCTATGGCACGCAAAAGGCGTAAGTTCGATTCCCCTGAGGGAGTCTGCCAAGTATCGTGGTGAAATCAGGCGTTCGTCAAAATAACGAAATCAAAGAAATCGACATTTTTTTTGGCCGATGAGCTTTTTTTTTTTTTCTTTGTTTTTTTGCTCAGCATCTTTTATGTCCTTTTAAAAACACATTTTTGCGTGAAATTTAGTGAAAAGTATTGATTAGAGGTACAAAAACCCCGTAAATTTTCGATTTCCAAGGACTCTCAGGTTATGGAAGTGACAAAACTTTGGCGGCCATTTTCCGCTAATTTAACCTCTTAAACCAGGAGACCCTGACCTCCTTCAATTACAAATATTTCAACTTCTATTCTACATAGATGGATATTTTTTCACCAAAAGGAAGGCAACTGAACAGTCTTTAGGATGCCACATGCACCAATAACACCCTATTATGCCCCAAAATTGACGAGCGCCTGGTTCCACCAAGTCGTGACACATTTTATTGAATATATCCGGCCACATATTGGGCTCCTGGCATGTGAAGTACAATCAGACCGCCATATTTAAATGATCTTAAGTCTATCAATCAAAAAGTTCACATTAAAAAAATTCACAGTTACGGTAATCACAACTCACAGAGGTAAGAAATCAAACTGCTTATTATGTAAATAAACTTTATAAGAAAACGAATAAAAACAAAGAAAAAGAGTATCACAGATTATGCATTGGACAATTTGCAAACGGCGTTGCATTGTGGGTAAAATGTAAACCTTTTACCCTCGTTCATGAAAAAGACGTTGAAAAAGGCATCTTAAATATCCTTATCAAGGGAATTACGGCACATATCTTGGATTCAAGCCTCAACCCAGTCCGACGTTGTGGCCTTAAGAAAAGCACTTTACGGGAATTTCCCATTTGGCTCGGTCCTTTAGGAGATAGACGTATAGCCTCCTAAGTAAACTAATAGTGCTGGTAGGGGTTTGAACCCCATACCATTTCACCATTTCCACAAATCTCGCATTTCAACAATTAATTGGTAAAAAGAGCAAAATCCAAGCTATCTAATCACACCATGGCACCCAGATCTATTGAAGAAGAACCAATCGGCGCTATACAACAACAACAAAAAATTTTAAAAAGCAATATTATGTCAAAATTGTCAAGTTATATTTAGGAGACAGTTTCCTTTCAACAAATGAAAAATAAAATCAATAAAATCGCTATATTACTTCTAGGAAAAGATATAAGTTTTAATTCCAAAGGGGGAACATTTTGAAATCTTACGGCAAGTTCAGCACAATTTGAAAAAAACTCACCAACGTCATAAAGTACACGACATAATCGTAGACAATCAACACATCTGTCACTGCTAGCCGCCTCTGTGCAATATCTATTCGGAGACGGCTCTGACGCATTGTGCCTCTAGACCAAGTAAAAAAATCGCTTTACTTTATGAAGCGAATAATTTCTTGAGGTGGATAACTAAATATAAAGAGATAAATAATATCTAAAAATTCAACAAACCTCTTTTCCACTATTCTACACAGGGGCTGAGTATTGATACATTCAAATCTAGCTGCATTTCTGCTGCTGAGTAAGTCTCCCCGACATATTATGCTTGACATTATTGTGATCACCAATCTCATAGCCGTCTCCCCGACATAAAATGCTTGACATTATTGTGATCACCAATCTCATAGCCGTCTCCCCGACATATTATGCTTGACATTATTGTGATCACCAATCTAATAACCGTCTCCCCGACATAAAATGCTTGACATTATTGTGATCACCAATCTAATAACCGTCTCCCCGACATAAAATGCTTGACATTATTGTGATCACCAATCTCATAGCCGTCTCCCCGACATAAAATGCTTGACATTATTGTGATCACCAATCTAATAACCGTCTCCCCGACATAAAATGCTTGACATTATTGTGACCACCCATCAAAACGACGTCTCCCCGACACATTATGACATTGCTATAAGCCTGAGCGCACGAATCACTCGTTCACCGGAGCATAGAATTGACAAACAAATCAAATAAATATACAAATCTGAAATATAGAACGAAATAGGCGAAAGCACGATCATAAAAATGTAATAATATAAATATACAAAAATGTTATTGCAAATAATTTTTTAAGGGAAGAAAATGACCAGGAGGCCAAATCTAAACTTTAAAAATTGGAGACTTCAAAAACTGAGCACCTCAAACAGAAAACAGCAACGTATTACGTCACGGGATGCTAGCACCACAGCTCTGTCTGTCTGTCTGTCTGTCTGTCTGTCTGTCTGTCTGTCTGTCTGTCTGTCTGTCTGTCTGTCTGTCTGTCTGTCTGTCTGTCTCACCCCCCTCTCTCTTTCTCTCTCTCTCACTCTTTCTCTCTCATGCTCTCTTTCTCTGTCTCTCTCTCTCTTTGCCTCTGTCTCTCTCTCCCTCCCTCTCTCTCTTTCTCTCTCTCTCTCTCTCTCTCTCTCTCTCTCTCTCTCTCTCTCTCTCTCTCACTCTCTCTCTCTCTCTTGGGGCTCTCGAGGCCCTAGAGGTTAAGTTGTACGCCTCCCATTCAAAGGTCCCGGGTTCAAATCCGGGTAGCGACAGAAAAAAATGTCCTCCTCTAAAATTGTCTCCTTTCACCTTCTTTCCTCCTTGTTTTGCAATATTCTGTAGTCTGCTTTCTTCTCCACTTTCTTCCCTCACCTTCTCACCTCCTTTTCCCCCGTCCATTGGACTCCTGACTCTTTCTGCAGCCTTACTAATGCTACTCCTTTGCTCCTTTTTACAGTCACACCCCTGATCTTCTGGTAGGAAAGATTTACACCTAGCCTTCTCGAACAAGGGCA